CCTCCTCCTCTACCTTACTACTACCTACCTCTACTACTTCTTTACTTACTACGTTACGTCCGTCCTCCTCCTCCCTCCTCCTACTAGTACGTACTACTACTCTCTCTCTCTCTCTCTCTCTCTGCCCCTCCCCCCCCCCCCCCCCCCCCCCCCCCCCCCCCACACGCACAAAAGTGCTATTTTCAATCTGTCGTTCAATGTAATAGTTAATGGACTAGTTTTAATGGCATATTGTATTTGATCGTGATCATTGCTCGACGCCAATAAATTTCAGGAAGCCTCAATTATTTCGAGGTCTTTGGATTCGTTCTACTCTCTCACATACTCAGTTTCCGTCAGGCCTCCATGGAGGTGAGATTCAAACTACAACTATCCTTTGAAGTTAGATAGTCTAGAAACTAACATATAATTGATTCTGTACGCATTAGCTTGATTTTCACATGTTTTAAGCTGTTTAAGTTTCTTAGTTAGTTAGATAAATAGTCTAGAAACTAACATATAATTGTTTTAGTACACAATAGCTTGATTTTCACATGTTTTAAGCTGTTTAAGTTTATTACTAACTTGAGATTTCAGATATCTTTTGAGAAAACGCTGACAATTCAACATCTTCGATATCAAACTCATATCTTTGTCGTAGAACAACAATGTGTGCTGTTTTGGTATTTATATGTGATTTTAGCCCATAATGTGGGTATCATGGGTTATTAAGTGGTCATTTGCTATATATTTTGTCAATCTCAATCACATACAAAAAGATGAATTGATGCTGATAGGTTTGGGACTTGCTGTTTCCTTTAGTATTGGCTTCTTTGAAGACCTTGCTTTTAATAAAGTACAAGACTACTGGAGCATTTCAGCATGGTTAAAGATATGATTCAAATAAACACTGACTTGACTGTTGCATATTCCTACTTATCCTTGTGACGCAGTATAAAATTTACTGGCGAATAATCCATCTGATTTTGATCTGCATCGCCTTGGTATCACTGTTTAAACTAGAACCGCGTTGAACTTTACCAACTGCTTATATGGTTTTGTTTTGGTTTTCAAGGAAACATGGTTGCATGTTTATGTGTATGGCCTTTCTTCAAAAAAATAAATAAATAAATAAATTGTGTATGGCTGGCACACTCATCTCATAAATTAGCATTTTTTCTCTAGAAGATTACATCATTTGGGCTTTCTGTATGGGATAGCATACTATAATTCAATGGACCTTTACCCTTTGGGTCATCTCCGTTTACTGAAATAATGGAGCTGGATGGTTGATAATGGAGAGAGAGTGAGACTCACCAGAGCAGGGCATGACCCTGATGGTCAGTCCCACTCTTGCTCCATCACAGTACGTCATTTCGTTGGACAGCGATTACCTGCTCGACTATGGTTTTTCCATAGTCCATTGAAGTATGGTATATTCCTACTTCATATATTATTGATAATTTGTACTGGGCCCTCTTCTTTGTTCTTTTCACCCTTACCAACTAGAGTTATGTGTTCTCAGGATCATGCCAGGCAAGATCTCAGGGTTCTGGGGATAGCATGGATACCACTACTTCTTCAGACATCATTGATGTGACACCCTTTAAAATGGGTGAAAGTGACACTATGGAGAAGACCACTGATTGTACCCCAGCCCTAACTGTGTTCGATAACATTGAGTCTCCAATTGAGCATCCTTTTTCACTGTCCAAAAGAGTATGTTCTATTACACTGTAGCATCTACAGATTGATTAGTTCATGGAAAATTGTTTCATGTGTTGGGTCCTGCATTTCTACATTTGCTCCCCTGCATTATAAAGCATCCATCTTAAAGATGGATGCAAATGGGTGGTCCATCTAAAAACAATTGAAACTAATGGTCCAAATTTTTTCTTCATAAAATTATTATTTTTATTTTTGAAAAATTTATTTATTTTTTAATATTCATGATCTCCATGTTAGAGATTACATGTCCTTGAAATTTGGGTCTGAATATCCATCTCAAAAATATATTTTTACGAGTGGAATCATTTCTACATGGACTCATAGAAACCGTGTCCTTAGTTCATATCTACTGGACTATCAAGCTGTTTTAGGTATCCACTTTTTTGTGCTTGTACTTCCATTTTGACCTAGGCAAAGATGTCTATGCCCTAGTGTTTCTTATTTGGTAGATTCTGCTCTGTCAGTTTTAACAGAAGATGCGCGAGGGTACTGGGTGCTTGGAAATAGAAGAACTGTAAAAGTGAACCATGACATAAGTATGATAGCATTAACTACTTGTAAGTGCCCAATAAGTGCCATTCTAGTGGGAGGTAGTGAACAATATTCCATGTGTAGTTGAGATATTGTGTTGTGGCCTACACAGTAACTACTTGTAAGTGCCCAATGACTCCCACTTTCTTACTTCGTAGATTGTGATATTGTATTGTGGCCTACACAGTACATGGCCAAATGAGAATATGAATGGAAAGAATAATGGAAAGAAAGATCAATGAAAAATAGAAGTCAGAGGATTGTTAGCCTCTGTTTGTAGTTCAACAGGGTATGAGCAAATCAGTTAATTTGGTGCAGGGGCTCACGAGTGGGTGCAAGCCATGTTTTGGTGGAGGAAAGTCGTGATGGAAAGTGAGTTAAAGTGACATGGATTGGGATCACAGAAAAAGAGATGATGAAGAAAAGGCAAAGACGTTACATCTTGATATCAGAATTTTAAGTCTTATCAAATTATGCATGAAACCGAAGTGGCTTAATGCAACTCATTCAAGTGGCAAGATGACTCAGCGTGCAAAAGACTGAGACACCCACAGTTATATACGCAAATCAAAAAATTATAATGCTTCACATACTTACTGATTAGTAACAAAAGCAAAAAAATCTGTGCATACTTGTAAAATATTAGCACCCATTGATCTTTATTTGTTGGCTTCAGAGAAGCTGTTCACTCAAGACATTGGTTGCATCTCTATGGTAGTAAAGGTTTCAAAAGTTCATAAAAGAGTTTGTTTACTCTTGAGCCTGGTTTCATGGAACTGAACGTCAGTTTAGCATCAAAGAATAATCCAAGCTGAGCTGGATGAGGGAGGGTCATTAGAAAGATGAACAGGGAGCCTCGATACTTCCTTTTGCTTACAGTGAGCAACACGGCAGCTGAATTCCATACTTTTATTGACAGGATGAAGCTCACCAAAAATATGGGTGTGAAGAGGCTCAAAATTGGAAGTGATCCTAAGATGATCGTGGATGCACTCCTCTGGAGTGGTTGGGTATATGGAGTCTTTGCAGTAATAATTCCTTTTTAGATAATCATGCACAATCTTTGTCAATTTCAAGTCATGCACAGGAAAAACCTCCATTAATGCATTCATTCTTTTTTAAGTTAACCATGATATTTGCCTCTATGTACATGTAACATACTGGAATCCCATCATTTCAATTTGAATAGCATTTGCTGTGGGAAATTGATCCTTACTGAGTGCAACTACCTTTTTATGCTTTAGCGTTCTCTCTACTGAAACTTCTATTGAATTGCAGATTTTCATTTTGTTTGCCTTTGATTAAGCTTCTTATGTTCCAATAGCAGCACCGTATGTATAAGAAGAAACTACGTCTACATTGCCATGTCACGGGTTTATAAATAGAGATGCATATTTGGGTCTGATTCCACGTTTTTGAATTCGCAGGTCATTGTTCTTGAAGTTTTTTTACGGTCTATTCCAGCATACTTAGCAAGATTGATGTGGTTGAGCTCTAAGAATGTGTGGAAAAGAAAAGTGTGGGATTCATTTCCATTTCTGGTGAAGGCCATTGATTCAGCAAAACCATGTTTTGCTTGTCTCTCAGACTCCATCAACAAACCCCAACCACTTAAGCTCGACATTTCTCTTCCATCTCTCAATGATATTAGCTGGAGCTTTTCACGCCTTTTCTATTTGTTGAACATACAATTGGAACGAAATATTACAGTGTAAATGCTTACATGAATGATGTCATTAGATCGGTTATTTCATTTCAAAGGAATTATCTTCTTGCATCTTGAGAATAACTGTAAATATGTACTTTGCCATAATTCTCCATCATTCGTTATTTCTTTCGGTAACTTATATTTTTGCATTGGACCATCTACACTGCCAAAGTATTGACACAAATGAGCTTCAGTTTTGCAAACGAATATGAACCAATTTTCTGGGGTTAATATTTCTAGTTAATACTGCTGTTGGATGCTCATATCTACACCCAATGATTCTGAAATTTTGGGCACTGTGTCTAAATTCTAGATGCAAATTATGCATCCAAATTCTAGATGCAATTTATGCATCCAAATTCTAGATGCAATTTGCTTCCTATATGATTTCCTTTCAATGAATGCTTACATTGATGAGTTGAATTAGTACAAATTTATTCATAGCTTACATCATTCCCTGATACTACTACAAATTGGCCTGTAAGAAATAACAGGGCGACAAGGGGATACCCTTGATCTCATAAACTTTATTGATAATTTGATTATTTGTTTGGAAAGCGTAGATTAAAAAAAATTTAGTCCTCTTTTTTCTTTAATAATAAAGGGGGACATCATCTAGATCTTGTCTGACACTGCTATATTAGATTCTCTGTTAATTCATGGTTTGTGATCTTATTCAGGTACGATACTGTGAATAAAATATTTATTTGATGTTAAATTTCCTGTTCTTGATTTTCAGGTATCTTATTTTGCTCATGTTAGCGTGTTGCTTCTTCACTATTGTTGGCGGTTTCCTTTTCTTTAAGTACAGGTAGTTGCTATTCAGGTCTTTTTTTCTATTGTGTTGCTAGTAGCTTTCATTGCACCGTGGCCCTTGAGGAATATGACACTTCCAGTTATTTTGCTCTCTGCTTCTGGATTTTTCACATTTTAGGCAGATTTATCTGGAACAGGTAAATTTATAATTAGATATTATTTTTTAAGAAATTCAGGCAGCGCAAAAAACCTTTGGAAGACTGCTTTTGGGATTCTTGGGCCTGCCTCTGTTCATCATCTTCTCACCTTCGGGTATGCCTTGTGAACCACTGACTATTTTAAAGCACATTTAATAATTTCATGTCCATATTTAGATTGATCCTGGTTTATGCTTCTATATTGCTGCTAGTAAGATTTTGCCTTGTGGGCTTGGTTTGACTTCATTAGTGTTTGCTTGCAGGAAAAAACGTTCTCTGAACGTATTATAGGCCTCTTGCTAGCTATTGGAGGATTATTGTTTTATTCTCGCTTGACTAGTACAATGACAGAACAATTTAGGGTATGTGCTGTGCTTCTTCCACTGGTCTTGAACATTTATTAGTGAGTCTTACTTGAAGACAATTCTAATACCTATCCTCGCAGAGTCATATGCAAAAGCTGAGAGATGGTGCACAATCCCAATTATTGGAATCCGATCATATCATTATTTGTGGAGTAAACAGTCATCTCACTTTTATACTTAAACAGCTTAACCAGTATCATGAATACTCAGTTCGCTTAGGTACTGCTACAGCCAGGTAATTACTTCTCAAATCAGTTATGATTTCTTACAGTGTATCTTCATTGATCTAGTTTGTTCTACTAACATTTCCATTAAATTTATAAGCTTGCGAAGTTTTCATTTTTCTTAATCAGGAAGCAACGTGTTGTTCTTTTATCTGAACTACCGAGAAAGCAGATTGAGAGGATTGCAGATAATGTCGCCAAAGATCTGCATCACATTGATGTTCTTACTAGAAGGTAATATAAACTGCTGGTTTAAACTGGTAATTATTAATAAATTGGTAGAATCTATTATTTTTATTCTATTGGAATGTACTTATATCGGCCATCAAAAGCCTGTGCATACTAGATGGTTTATTCCGAATGAAATGTGTCGAAAAAGATTGAGTTTCCTTGGAATAAAAAGAGAGAGAGGTGGATGTGGTTGTGTAATACAGATCTATTTGGCAAATAACTGTGCCTATCACCTTCTCAATGAGCTGTGGATTCAAAACAGAATTGATCTCATCCAGGTTAAGATCTATATTGGGTCCTCTAATTTGTTAATTGAGGGTCCAACCCGAGGAATCGAAGAATTTCGAACAGATGTACAAACAAAGTTAAATTCTAGACTCAACATTGCTATCACAAGAATTGCAAGGCCCTATGGACAACCTAACATTGCCAAGTATGTTTGCTTGTTTGCTATGCATTGGTCGAACTTGCTTTTGTATTTATGGTCACTGGGATGTTTTCTAGTATTGATTTTTAGGTTGGGGTGCATTTTTGGTCTTGTTGTTGCTGAACTTTGAAGCTCTCCACATGCATTGAAAAACTTCAATGGCCTCCACTTGGTCTAAATGTTTGATGTTTAGGCCTTGATTTAAATTTCCCTTGTTGATAGAACAGGATGTTGCCTGTCCTAGATATTTGAACAAATATAGGTGGATAGGGACCACTTCGGTGACAGTTAATTCTATATCCTTCATTGACTTATATGAGGGAGATTGGGAGAGGGGGTTTTAATCCTTTATTCGACTATTGGATTTAAGTTCTCTTGCTAAATTCCAGTGTTCTAAAAGAGGGATTTCTAGGGTGGAGCAACCAACCACCGATCTTGATCTGGATCAGCAATCCAGCAAATCTAAAAAGAAAAAAATACAAATAAATCTATGGTATAAATATTAATTATATCATAAATTTAAATAGCTCAGTGGGCTAAACTTCTTGTTGTTAACCATAATGATGGAGGTTTGAATCCTCCCGCTTTTTTCTTAACGTTCAAAAAATTATATAAATAGTGTATATATTTTTATGGGCACTTAAGAAAGATCTCAAAACCAGTATGTTGTGTGTTTGTGTGTGTGCACGTGCATGCGTGCATGCATGTGTGTGTGTGTGCATGTGTGGTGTGATGTTAAATAAAGAGCCTGCTTGGAGGGATCGAACCTCCCATCTTTCTCCTACTACACTCAAGCTATATCCACCTAAGCTATCCTGCTTAGGTGATATGGAAAATATATACTATACTATATATAGCTAAATCGCTAGTTCCAACCAAGAATCAAGAATATATAGCTAAATCGCTAATTGTGACCAAGAATCAACATGGTCTTGAATGATTTCCAACCCAGATTGGCTATTGTTCGATCACTGCTAAATACAACTCAAAGTTTTAGAATTTCTTGTGGAATACTTCATACTCAAGCCCAGTGTTATCAATTGATGTACATGCTGATTAGTTGTGATTTGCATTTTGGTTCTTTCTAGTTGCCTAGAACTATGGGGATCTTCACCCCAGGCTCCAAAGCATGCATACATGTTTATGTGCAACAAGTCTTCCAAATTTAAGCTTATGCTTCACTTTGGAAAAAGGTTGTCCTCAATATTTTTACTATTATGATGCATCAATGTTGACCAGCTTCTTCCATATTTTTCTCATAAGGCAAACATTTTCTTATACTTTTCTCTTACACTATGTATTATAATTTATGCAGCTGCAGTCTTAGCCTATCAGGATCCTTTGAAAGAGCCGCAGCCCCTCAAGCACGTTCCATTATAATGCTATCAGCAAAGGGTGACCCGTATGAGTTTTGAGGCTTATGTTGTTTGCTTCTACTTTTATTAGATTCTTTTGGGTGCCACTAGCTATCTTCGCCGAAGATTTCTCTAAAAATTGCTAATGATTGAATGTTTGGTATGCGTTAGCTGTTTCTTATTTTCTGATAATTTATGTTAATTGACTTGTGATTGGTTTGTAATTATTTTTTGTGAAGCATTTAACCTTTGGCATTCTTATTGTTGGTTATGGTGTGCTTCATGGTTTGAAGCATTTCCACTTTATTTTGATGCCTTTACAAGAAAGGAAGTTGAGTTGAGATGCTTTTACAGCTTGTTTTTTCTATTAAATGAATTGGATAGAGGAGTAAAACAACATCCAAGAGGAGCTGAGGGAGCTCTTAGTTGTGCTCTTATCTATGTTATGGTGATAAAAACTTATGCTGTATACCATTTTCCAATCCCTAAGGGGTGCGAGGAATACTTACTCTCCTTGTCAACACTGGTTATACATGATGATGTATGGATTGGTGGTATCTCATGAGTTTCAGTAGGTTCCCAATTGAGATATTTGCTGAACTGGAGAAGAATGTTGCTGGTATGACTAGTTCATTTCTTAGAGGTCTATGACGTGGTTCACTGGTGCACTAGTTCTTTGAGACCTGGTGTGAGTTTTGAGTGTTAAGAACACTAAAACCAAAAGGATTGCAATAATTAATTTCCAATGGGTTAAGTGATTCAAGACTCCAATTTCTTTGAATGGGACCTGCACTTCACATTGCTTGACAACTATGTACTGTATGGAATTTCAAACCTATGCGAAGGACACTGAGATATAGATATCAAACACAAAGCTATTTATGAAGAAAAGTTTTGGAGTTTGAAATTTGATATCATTTGAGTGAAATATTAAAGTTCAAAAATTATTTGAAGGACATGGAAATTTGGAGGTTTGTGCCACTGATATTATAATAGTTGTTTTTTCCCTTAGCAATAGATTTCTGGTGCTGCTTTAAAAGCTGTATTTCTTGAAATGGTCATTACTGCTTTGCTATGTTACTGAAATCAGAATATTTATGGTATTTTTATTTTTGTGAAAATAATGTATGGCTAAGAAACTTCATGTATTCATTATAGAATAAACTCAAATATTGCTGTTTTGCTCTATTCAATTTTCTATTGCTATTTGATTATTGAGAGTTTATGTTCAAACTTTTTTCTTGGCCTTACAATGAATTCAGGTATGAAGTTGATGCGGATGCATTCCTCTCTGCTCTTGCTCTACAACCTCTTCCTAAAATGTCAAATGTGCCAACTGTCATAGAGGTATGGGCCAGATAAAAGTTTTTCTGATGAGAAAATGTTCAATAGAAATTATATATCTATCAATGAAACCTTGGTGCAGTAAAATAGTTTTAGAAGAGGAATGATTTGCTTTCTTTTTTTCTTTTTTCTTTTGAATGTTTATCAGTACCTTTTGAAAATGGAACTCTAGAGGTCAGGTTGTGGCATCCACCACCGTGGCCACTCTGCCTAGAGCCTTAAAGTGGAGCTTGGTGTACCCAGTTTATTTGTTATGTTCCGAATCTTGCCTATGGTTTAGGGTACTATTGATACCTCTGAAAAAGGATTTTTCAATATGATTTGTTGAAGCTAGCTGTATAACTTCAAATCTTCTTTTTGAAGGGACAAACTAGTTGAATGTTCATAGATTAGTAGCGTCCTAGGGGGGCATAGTTGGTAGAATGACATATTTGTTACCAAGTTGCATTTCTTTTCCTTTATTCTATTTTTTTTCAAGATATTGTACAATTTGGCACAATAGATACCGTACCAGTTGGCGCATGTCCACCCAAATAAGTGGTCGTGCAACATGTTTTCCATATTTTTTTAAAGAAAGTTGGGAGCTTTCCATATTTTGTATCAGAAATACTTGACTATCTTTATGTCATTATTTCATAGGTTACAAACTCAAGCACCTGCGATCTCTTGAAATCAGTCTCGGGCATAAAAGTGGAGCCTATTCAGAATGTGGCATCCAAATTATTTGTTCAGTGTTCTCGCCAGCGGGGCCTTATCAAAATTTATAGGCACTTGCTTGATTATCGAAGTATTGCCCTTACTCTTTTGCAGATGAGAGGAAGATACTACTAGTTGCAATTTTCAAGTTTGTTCAATCTCCTTGTTCTTGATTTGTCGTTTGGGAGTATAGATATTATCCCCTTGACTTCCTAGCATGCCTTGTGATCTCTAGTCTGTGGCATATTCTCTGCTATTGATATATCATGCTCCAGTGATTTTGGCGACTGGAATTTGTGGTTTCCTTTTCTTTAATATGCATGATAGTGTCCTTTATATGCACCATTAGAAATTTAGCATACGACTATATTGTTCTGAGTTTCTTTCTTTGCTGGAGGTTATTTTGATATGTGCTGTGAATTATTTTGATGTGGTGCTGCCTTCTTTTCTGCAGAAGATGTGTTTAATGTTTGTAACTTTCCTAGCCTTGAAGGTTTCACTTATAAGCGTGTAAGACGTGGATTTTTAAAGGTGAAAATTCTCTTTGAACTCCAATCATGGTTCAACTTAAGTTTCTAAGGAAGTCAGTCCTTTACTTTATTGTTCATTTGATTGCAGGCAGTAGTTTGTGGGCTTTTCAGAAATGGGAAAATAAACTTCCATCCTAGTGATGATGTGATTCTCGAGAAAACTGACAAGGTAAGAGAAAAATCGCGAAGAAAGCATGATTTCAACCTTCCTGCAGCAATAGATGTGCGGAACTGCTGAACCACGATTTATATACTAGTTTATGAAGTTGAGTATAATGAATTGAAATTTTCACTTTTTCTGGATCTTTTGGTCTCCTTCCATCCTGATTTTGTCAGTTGACCATCACAAATCCTAGTGATGACCTGATTCTAGAGAAAACTGACAAGGTAAGAGAAAAATTGTGAAGAAAGCATGATTTCACCCTTCCTGTAATTCCCTAATACTGCAGCAATAGATAATCTGAACTGCCACCACTTTATTTACCAGTTTATGAAGTTGAATTATAATGAATTGAAATTTGCATTTTTCTGGATCTCTTAGGCTACTTCCACCCTGACTTTTTCTGTTAGCTATCACAAATGCTTGATAATATATAATCAGAACTTTTGTCCATACCAGCCCTAGGAAGAAAAGAACAATAGAAAATAATATAACACTGAAGGTCAACACTGTGGTCAATTTTATTTAGTTATTTTATTGGGTTTCTAGTTTCAGGATTCATGGAAAGTTTTGGCAAAGTTTTATGTTGGCTGCCTACTTAACACAACCCACCTCCTTTTCCCGGTCATAGGACAGGTTTCTAGTTGACGTAAAATGCTACATCTTTGTGTTTTCGTTAAAACCCTAGGATCCTTGAAGCAACATTTAAATGGAATCATAAAGCATTGGAAAAGGGCATCGAGAAAGTATGCTGAGCTCTTTTTATAATGTGAACCCTAGGCCATATAGTGGACTCTAGCCTGTTTTGAATGAAATGTACATAGACAGGCATAGATGTTAGTTAAACTAAGTGAGTGCATACTCTGCTGCCTTGTTTTTTCACCATCTGTTCCAGTTGCAAAGTGGAACAAGGGAGGAAGCCACCAAGTTAATGTGGTATGGATGATCATAAATATTCTAGAGAATACATTTTGCATGCGTGATTCAGCATGGGTTAGACACTCTTAAATGTTGATATCGTCCCAATGGGCATATATAACAAAGACGAGGTGGGGAAGAACGTTAACTCAAAAGGATATGTTGTTTCCCTTAGTTGGAGTTCTTGAGGAACTCTCAATGATTATGGAATTGTCTGTGGATTTGGTTGGGAAGGTTATACAGATGGCGCATATGTGTTCATGGGAAATTTGTTCCTCGGCCAAAGGTGTTTTATGGCACATATGATATTTTGATATTTTCAACCAAGGAAAAAACTCTACCAGTGATAGTGAACTATTTACAACAGGGAAAATAAAGGCTTTCTTTTTATTTATTTTTAATGTTTACCCCAGTTTTCATGCATTTAAATCCACTCCAATGATTGAGACAGTTATTTGTAGAACAAGGATACGAGATCCAGAACTGAGTCTTCGTACTATATCAGCTGTTCTTCTCTAGTTGCCATTTCATTGACTTGGCACTAGGCTTTTTTGGCCAAATCTCTACACAAATTTTCGGGCAGAATATATTGATCATGCCATGGAGTCTTTACATTATATCTTCTTGAATTGATGATTGCTATTGATCAATATCCTTCACCAAATGGCAACTATATTGGTACCAATGACTGATAATTTAGTGTATTAAGTTAAAAATGTGTAGGGTATCTTGTCTTCTTGATTTCCTTATGCTAATATTTCTTTCCATTGTCCATGTAGCTGCTTCTTGTTGCTCCTGTCAATGTGCACAAGAATCCTCCTAGTGGATTAGTGAATTGGAAGGAAGAAAATGGGACTTCTGAAAAGGGAGTACTGGAAAGCAATGATTCAGGTAGCAATGTTGAGTTGAGTACGAGAAAGTCGCGTGTTGATAAAATTGTAAAACGTCCCAAGAAATTTGGTTCGAAGGTAATTTTTTCTTGTGAACAGTGTTACCTCAATCTTAGGTTTATTATTCATAGTAATTTGAACATGCAGAGCTCAGATTGGAACTTCGGACCAAAAGAGCACATACTTATGCTCGGATGGCGGCCAAATATTGTTGATATGATTCTTGAGTACAATAATTATCTTGGTCCTGGCAGCGTTCTGGTATGCACTATTCTAGAGCTAGTATGATCACTCCCTACTTTGCTATTTTATGTTTCTTCACCCAATTAAAATTTGGTCTGTTGTATATTAGTATACTATGGTAGAAACTATGCAAGCTAAATCTGTCAAGTTCCATGAATTGTCTGGCATTAAAAATGAAAGAGACCACAATTATCATGGTATATGTTAATGCTGTTGTACGTTAGAATGAATATAGATTAATTTTAACTAATTGAAAATGAGGGATTTATATAATTATATAAAGTTGTGAGTATACTAATTATTAAATGGCCCATTTGGGTGAACCACATCGATGTGATATCTGGACTCATTGTTGTTGAGGAGATTCAGCTTTCAAACTAATTTACCACCAAGATCTTTTAGTTTCTGATGAGACCTGAATCTATAGCTACAGTCCCAAAGAGCAAACTCTTTGTTCAATACTTAGAATGACTGAATAGAATGGTAACAAAGATATGTCAGCAGATGATTCAGTTCTTATACAAAATGTTTTTGCCAATTCTCACTCTCTACCATGCAAAAGAGTTTTATGTTTTTGAGACTAGATCTATGGATGATTATTTCGTTCTGGATATGTTATTTCCTTTGCCAATGCTTCTTTTGTCTTTCGTAATACAGGATGCTTTTTAAAGAATTACAATAAGATATTCTAGATTGGCATGTTCTCTTTTATGGAACTATGGGCATCTGGAAACAAATTTAGTGGCTGTATCTTGCATAGTCATCTTCCTTATTGATTTTCCTTTAGTGAGGTCCTTTCACAATTTCCAGGAAATATTAGCGGAGTCTCCAATCGATGAAAGAAACCATGTAATGAAATTCCTGGGTCAGAAGAAGATACAAAATGTCAAAGTTTCTCATAGGGTATATTCTCATTGATCTGTCTCTCTCATTCTTTGTCACTTGTCAAGCTGTGATCGTTAATATTTTATTTACCCCTTTTTTTTCTGTTTTTTTATTCCCTGAAAATGTGATCTGGCACATGTAAACATGCATGACAAAATTAAATGGTTTTATTTTATTTTATTTTGTTTTAGATGGGAAATCCTATGAATTATGAAGCCTTAAAGGATGCCATATTGACTATCAACAACTCAGTTCAGAAAGGCGAGAAGATGAATCTATCAATCGTTGTGGTGTCTGATAAAGGGTGGTTTGCAGGAGGTATCTTAATATATTTACAACTAAATAAACCAATTATGTGCTATGTGGGGACCTCATTACTCCTTAGATCCTCTTTAGATCAAGAAGATTTTCCTATGAGCTCTTTTTGATGAAGAGCTTTTATATCCTTTCTGTGTGAACTGACCTCAATATTTTACAGATCCTGCCAGAGCTGACAAAGATTCCGCTTATACTCTCCTTCTGGCAGAAAAGCTTTGTAGAGATTACAATGTTAAGGTGACTATCTTGTTTGTATCCAGGCTCCTCATTATGTAAAAATGAATTTTGAAATTCTAAACCCCAAAGATGGGCTAGAATATTTAACATGGTAAGATTTGAATTTTTATGGTTTTTTTCTTTTCTTTTTTTTTTAAATATTAAAAGTTACTTGAGAATGAGAACCTTGTGCATCTAATATTGGATATGCTGAAAATCAAATATTGGACTTGTAAAAATCTAATGGCTAAGAGTGCTTTCTGCAAGACATAAACCATGATATAGCATTGTGTGCTCCAAGACAGATGATATGCAGCACTTGACACACTTAGGTACCCTATGTGATGGAATAGACCCAATTACTGAATTACTTAAATATGCTTTTAGATTTCCCAGAAATCTAGAATAATCTCATGATATGTAAACCTAATGGCTGTCAATAATAAGTTAGTATGAAGAAGCACGCATATCTAGAATGATTCTTCCATATAATACATTTACATGTCAACTATCTTGAGGCTGAGAAAAAGTATCTGCTTCACATGATGCCAAGAAGCAACAAGGTATGATAAATATATTTTATTCAATTCCACAGGGCTCTGAATCTTTTATGTATTTTAAGGAACATAAAGAAGGCTGTGCACCATCTTCTTATCCACTATGAATTTGCTTTTATGTGTAGAATCTGAGCATAACCCTTTGAGTTGTTCAGGCTTTTTAAACCAGTTAAGATTACAAAATGTTTTAGTTCCATGTGTTTTGTGATTTGTAGGTAGAAAACCTCGTTGCAGAGATCGTCGATATTAAATTGGGAAAACAAGTATGTAACATTTCCCTGTCATATTTCAAATATTTTGTTCATTTACAAATTGTGAGAGTATATGCACTTGCATGCACACGTGCATGACCACACGTGTGAATATGTAGCCGTATGTGTGCAGGGTGAGGCATGTGTGCATACACATGTTGGTGTGTTTTTGTGTATGTTTAGTATATTATAATGGTCTCCAACTTTCTATAGCGACTAATTCATATTTCTTGCAGATTGTGAAAATAAAACCATCTTTGACATATGTTGGTGCAGAGGAAATAATGGGACTTGTAACAGCTCAAGGTTCCTTTATCTAATGCTCTTTTACTTTTCTAAAGTCTTCTTTTATACGAACTAATTAGAAAATGGTTTTGATGTATGTCTATTGCATGGATGATAGTGGCCAAGGATGATGAATTGAATCAGGTGTGGACAGATTTACTCAACTCATGTGGAGACGAAATATATGTGAAGGTATAAAGTAACTGTACGTCATTACTAGTGACCTGTCTGTCATACGATTGACCCTAATAAGAGGAGATCTGGATTAAGTGTTCACCAAAATTCAGTGGGATTTGTGCGTTCGATATTTGTGTTTTTTGCGAGTTCGAGTTTAGTGTACATCTTGTCCTTTTGTATTAATTGAGCAAGACATAATATCAAACTCCTAAATTTTGAAAAGAACAGAGAAAAATAAAGTCAAGAAGAGAAACTAGAGAGCACAACTCTTGATTCTCAATGATAAAAACAGTAAAAAAGAGTGCAACATTTGAATAGTCTTCGCTTAAAGAATGTCCATTTGTGGAATGTTATATGCACTTATCCATTAGAGCAATTACTATTCTTTAGTCTATGCCATTTATATAGGTTTTCAGTTCCTTTTTGCCATTTTCTTGTATCATTTTTGGTTCTGACTTCTTCATTTTCTTATATCTCATCCCCTGCGGTCCTCTATGAGGAGATAGACCTGAATTTCTGTAATATGCATGTTTTGTACTTGTGTTTTCCTTTATATATTTATATTTTATTTTATTTTTTGTTATTATTCAAAGCATGTTTCATTGTTTCTTGATTATTTTATCTGCTTCCATATCTAAAGGACAGATGATGTATCTTTCTACCAAGGCTCTTTTCAACCCAGATATTCGCTTTAAACTTGTTAATAGAATCCCTTAAATTTATTAGATCTAATTTCATGAGTCAATTCTATATATGACTATCTGTGGTTCCGTGAGGCATTTTGCTTTCATTGCAAGTGCAATTTTAGATTTTCAAGCTTAGTCTCTGGTTTGGTATTAGTTGTTTCACAACCATTATGAATATAGGTGATTTTTGTCAGGACATAAGCAATTATATGAAAGATGGTGAGAAGCCATCATTTTCCGAGCTTTCAGAAAGGGCAATATTGCGTCAGGAAGTTGCTATTGGTTATATGAAGGACAACAAGAAGGTAACATTAATGTCTCTAAATTTTGCACTGCTGCTGAAGAGGTTAACATGCCGTAGATTGACACCATATTTCTTTATTAATGATGACAGGTTATAAACCCACCAAATAAATCAGAACCACTGTCCCTTGGGATGGAAGATTCACTGATTGTCATCTCCGAATACGAAATATCAACAACCTGAATTTGCTGATTTTGTACTATTAGAGCATTGAAGGTGCATTCCTTCACCATATGTTATCATGGAATGTACAATTTATGTTTATAATGCAAAGGTGACTATTGAATCTCATTGCTACTTATCAGATTAGTATGACCTAAAGGTAGAGGTGGCCATTGAAGCACACTTTTTTGCAGGCCCCTTTGTTTCCTATTCGCGCATTGTGGCCTAAAGGCACTAGGTCCTTTCAAGCAATACTTGTGGGTGGTTTGCTTCCTTCTCTGTAGTTCTCCCCTCATATTATTTTCTCTGTCCGAGGTAAAACTTGCAGAGGAAGGTCCAGTAGACCAATTTCATGCATCGATAGAGCAAGAAACTAAGGTAAAATTTCAAAAATTTGTTTCCTTTAGGATGAACATGAAAACATATCCTTATACAATATCATTGGACTAATAGAACACTAGAATACCTGCTGAATTAGTCCACATCATTAGAATGCCTATGGCGAAAAGAGTTCCATTGTCCTTTATTCGAAAGACCACTCAACTTTGACAGTTACAACTTACAAGTGCTAGTGACGAAGCATAGTCAATTAGCAAAAGAAACCTAAGTTAAGGGTAGTGCTTGCTGTTGAGGAAGTATCATTGGTGTCAATGTCTACAAGAACCCAAGGTGTCTATTACAATGGTTTAAAAAGCCGGTACAGCTGGGCATGTCTCCACAATTGTTATTTATAAATAATACAAATAAAATATCAGTATATTTAGTATATATAATATCATTTCCCTTTGTATACAACATAAAAAGTAGATGGAAAGGTGGTGGAGCAGAGCATGGTATACTAAAATAACTTGAGTTTGAACATTGCATTGGACCTCCACAAAAATTATCTATTTTTCTATACCTAGGTATCCTCAGGCTTAAGTTTGAATCTTGCATTGGACCACCTTAGTGTTTACATGTGTATATATATGACTACCTAACAAAAAGGTGAAGTGTCGCGCTAATGCTGATTATCAGTTAAAGGGTGTTTTTCCGTCTTTAACGTGTGTGACAATAGTGATGCTCCAATAATTGATGATTTTTTAAAAAATGGAGGGATGTTAATGTAATGGAAATTTGTTACATGTGGGCGGGACCGCATTTCTAGTCCCAAAGTATAAAGCATCCATCTTAAAGATGGATGCAAATAGGTCCATCTAAAAACAATTGAAACTAACGCTCCAAATGTTTTTTTAATAGAATTATTAACTACCGGTCCAAATGTTTTCTTAATAGAATTATTTTTTTTAATTTTAAAATTTTATTTATTTATTCATTTTCATTTTTATGATCTCCATGTTAGAGATTACATGTCCTTAAAAATTAAGTCCAAAAATACATCTCAAAAATAGATTTTTAATGGGTGACTCATTTCTATATGGACTCATAGAAATCGTGTCCTAGTGTAATTCAAGGTGGTGGGATGTTTTACATATTTTGCTTGATTTTGGGGGTGAGAAAAGTATAGGAAAAATTATAAATAACCCCCAAGACTAGACTTTCTATGCAAGTTACCGCCAACCAAATTTTTTTCTCACTTTTTACCAAAAAGTAGACTTTCTTGGCAAATACCCCCAACTAAAAAAAAAAAAAAAGGTCTAAACTTCCCTCACTTATTTTTACCTAGGCGGTCCAGTGTTTTCTTAGGGTGGTCCGGCAGGGTGATGTCGGTCTAGTAAATAATAGTGGCGGTCCGGCACTGACAAATAATGGTCCGACAATAGGCCCATGCGGTCCGACAATAGGCCCACAGTACAGTCCGACAATGTCAAAGAGCGGTCCAGCACATTTTTAGTTTAATGGGGTCCGACAATGTCAAAGAGCGGTTCGGAAGCCCATGTAAGCTGCTGTGAATGTCCGGCCAAAATTAAATTTTTGTGTACGAAAAAGCGTATTTTTGTCAAAAAAAATTTTATATTTTTTTATCTAGGGGTTATTTGCTAGAAAAGTGTAATTTGGGGAAAAAAGTGATTAAAAAAGTTTGATTGGGTGTAACTTGCATAGAAAGTCTAATCTTTGAGGTTATTTATAATTTTGCCAAAAGTATATTAGGTTTATCTAAAAATATTTCCCGGGAAATTTTCACACGAATCAGTTGTCAATTGGTGTGAAAAGACGCACCCAACTAGTGTACAAATATTCTCACATTTAACCATATGAAAATATTTTCATGCGAAACAAACATTAGAGTGTCCTCATGAATGGCCATTGTGCCCTTAAAAAAAGTCACGGCTGAGAAGTTAGGAGTTGCTTTTCAATGCTGTTTTGGTCATTTTCCACCCGTTTGGATATCAAAATTCAAAAATTAATGAATAAATTCTTGTTGTCCTCGATTTTTTGAAAGGTCCTAGCTTTGCAAAAACTGCCAAAATATGATTCAGTAGTGTTGAGTTTGTTACACTAATACAATCCCCTAAGCACGGCAATGTCATACGGTACCTCGACTAAAACATAAAAGAAGCAAAATCCATGAAAAGACGAAGAAAATCTAATTAAGGAATTCACAAATTTAGATAAAAATTGGAGGAAAAAACAATCATTTATTGAATAATTGGGTTACTGGAAATCAGAAAAAGGGTTCCCAAAAAGACACATAAATAGCTTGCTTTTTTTGTGTGGGGGTGGGCTGTGGAGCGAGAGGGGGTGAGAGAGAGATGTTTCTTTAGTCTAGTATTTGTTTTATTTATCTAGCCGAAGAAGTTGTGATGATGATGATTTGTTTCTCTTAACTATGGCCTCGTCAGTGCCTTGGGGTTTTATGTTGAAATTGAGGTGAAGGAATCATTCCCTTTGCAACTGATATATCTACCATTAAGCTGGAGCTCAAGGGGACTACGTAGAACCAATGTGGTATTTGGAGTTAGGAAATATATTCAACATATGGAAAAGGTTTGGAAATTTATCACTAATATACCCATATTTTAAGAAAATTGGAAAAAAAAATCCCAACTTTTCAAAACCTCGCCCAGACCATTTTTTACGAATTTTGGCTTTTTTTTTTGGATGAAACTACCCTTTATGATAGTCTTTGTACCGTAAAAAGCATTACGATATTAAGAGTACCGTAATGAGCATTACGGTATTTTTAGTACCGTAATGCTCTTTAAATACTTTACGATCATAAGAAGACCGTAGTGGAATTGAATATCATTACGATACTAAGAGTATCATAACGCTCTTTTTGGTATGGAGGAGATGTTCTATGTATCATTGCGGTACTAAGAATGAAAGAAAGA